CTACTTAAATTTTATACTTAACTATGTAATTTGGTGTAAAAAATTCATAGGATTATCTGAAATCTATTTTTATCTCTAATTATAAATTTTTAAACTACCAAAAGTGGTTAAAATCAAGTAGATATATAAGCATATGAAAATCTTGAAAATGGATGGTCTATATGCAAGATGCACTATTTTTGGGACTCAAAATCTTTTTTTTTTTTTTTCATATTCATACATATTGATGTCGAGATGATCAGTTAGAGGGTTTTCCAATATTAAAACAACATTTTTCGATGGATTTTTTAGGTGCATCTTTAATTTTACGTTTTACGGTTGCAACCTTATATAAAATTTTTTCCATTAAAAATATAGGTAAAATATAAAATTGTTCGTCTCTTTGTGACAATTTTGATCAATTTCTATCTCTTTGTCATATATGTGTCTATGGTTATGTGTATGTCTATGTGTCCCTAGGGGATTGGTGGTGTTGGTATTAGATTGAAGATCAATTCAGATGAACAACAAATAAATTTTATATCCCTCGAGCTGAGGGACATATGGGTTTGGCATGCGCCCGACCAACTTTGATGCATATGAGTCTACTCGCCCAAGGCGGTAAACCCTGCAGTTAGCAAATAAAAAAATTATAATATTGTACAAAATTTCAAGTAGAGAAATAGAAGAAAAAAAAACGAAAAATATATAAAAAATATTATAAGGACATATTTGCAAACTCTTAGGTATAACAGTGCACTTATATGCTGATTTTTAGAACAAATCACCGACTAGTGCCGATTAGTTCGATTAATCGGTCGATTAGTGCACTGAAAAAAAATTCCTGCATACATGACCATTGAAATCGGGCCAGATCGAGATTGGTCAGTCGATCGATTTTTTAAAAATCGACCGATCTAGAACTAAATGCAAGTGTTAACCAAAAAAACAAAGTGGACTAATTATAACTACAATCTTATTCTATTGAATTGGATCCCAAGCTAGTCACGGAAACAAAATAAATGAGCAATAAAATCATGAGGGACTCCATTTCTCAAAAAGATAAAATAAAAAAAAACTCCTCGGGGACTAAAAAGTTTATTTAGGATACAAAGTAAGGCGCACTTCAAAATTCTATGGGGGAATGTTGTTCCGATGCTGAACAAGCCTCCAATTGATCATTTCGATCTTGAGACATATGGATATAAAAAATAATAATAAATAAAATTCAATTTTTTAAAATAGTGCATCTTATAACACATTATCCAAACATTTTCAATATTTTTCTAGTGTTTATAGATCCGCTCGATCTGCGCTATCGTTTGAATTTCGATTATATTAACTTAGGACTCGAAATAGATTTTTAGAACTTATAAACTGCCAGCAAGGTTTGAAGACGCACCTTATGTTAATTGTCTAAGGTTTGAAGATGCACCTTATGTTAATTGTCTAAGGTTGACGCCTTATGCAAACCATATCAATCTGTAAAGGAAAAAGCATAGCGTGCATATGCGACACACATCTACACGTGCATCCCTGCAATTAAGATTCATTTCAAAGATGGATTTTAATGGTCTAAAAAGAATAAATCAAACATTATTTTTATTTTTAAAATCATTTTGATTTCCCATTCATGGTATAAATTATCAAACTCCTAAATTTTTTGGATCCAAAATGATGGATTTCAAAGAGATGGCTCATATAAATAGATGATGAGTCGGTCGAACCTTGTCCATCGATAAAACATCATGCCCTTGACTTTATTTTATAATAAAATATATTTTTAATAAAATACAATGGGAGTAAGAAACAAATGAAGGAGCAACTTAAGGCATGCATTCTTCACCTCAGTGATGCTTTGCCTTTCCTAGGGGCACAAGGCGCACATCATCAATGACCGGACCACACAATGAGCTCAGATCATCGGTCCTAGTCATGTAAAATGTGCTATAGAAAACAAAACGAGTAACCTTCTCTAAGGCCACAAACACAAGCTTTGCTCTCTTAAAACCTCCAAGTCCTTTAGATTCATAGTCCACTTTTAGAGAACCCCTTCCAGCATAGGCCTCGACTGCCATGGAACCTTTGCATGTGTTATTAGCATCACCAACTAAGAAAGTTAGGACATAGTAAGCCTTGGGCACTGTAGTGGCAGTCTGTGAAATTATGCTTTCTTTTCCTGCCAACAGTTCGACGGCTTTGCGGCCCTCCGGCACTGAGAAGTGGGGGGAGTCGATGTAGCGAACGGATTTCAGGGAGAGAATGGTCCAGCCAGGGAGGGGCGAATTGCGGTCTATTTGGTTGGGAGGGATTAGGACTCCATCTAAGTTGTTGGGTAGAAAATAAGGGCCTTCTTCAAAATCTCCATTCTTGAGGAGGTTTCCTATGAGAAATGGATTCACAAGAAAGAGAGATTGAAACACCAGCCTTATTGTCATAATTTTTGGAACATATTTACCCAAAACAAAAAATCGAAACACTATGGTGGCTTGGAAATAGATCCACAGCAACGCGTGTGCGAAAAATACCAAATCAAAATAGATTGTATAAAAAAAGTGAAAAGATTTCCTCCTCCATATTTCCTCCCTCGGGTAAAACACATGTTATGGACACTTTATGAACCTCAAATTTTGGAATGCAATCTTTACTAAAATTGACGTACGTTCCAAAATACACTATTTACAAAACTTGCAATCCATTTTCTTCTCATGTCCATGCATCTTGATGTCGAGATGATCAATTTGAAGATATTTGGGCATCAAAACAAACTCTTCGACTAAAATTTTAAGGTATGCTCAAATTTGATTTTTTAGAGCCTCAGCTCCATATAAACTTTTCCCATTTTTGAAAGGCTAGAACTAAGTGTCGCAAAACTTAAAATTCAATTTTTTCTTTTAAAAATAATCATCTAGTATTTACTATGTGTTTCACAAAATTTTAGACTAGGAAAATTCTTGTGCTTTGAGCGAGGGAGGAGATGTGCAGTATCCTCCCTGGGGAACATTGTGTATGTGGTCATAAAAAAAGTGGTGATTCATATGCCTATGCGAGGGTAATCACCATCCAACTATGGATTTTATAGAGATGGAGAGAGATTGCGAGATACAATTGAAGTCATGCCCCTCGTTTTGACGGGGCCTGTTTACCAGTTCAATCTATTGATTGGATGGCGATGACCGTCATGACCACATATTTTATGTGGTCATATGGATCACAAAATATTTTGTCAAATCTTTGGGCGACGCATTAAGTTATTGGAAAATACGTACTACTTACTTTTTGTTGAAAAATAAAGAAGCCATAAAATAAATAAAAGTAAATTGCAAAGAGTAAATAAATCTTCATACCTATTTTCCCTAAAATGTTAACTAAGTTTTTAATACACAAATAACGTCCATAAGGTATGCACAGTACAGACTTAATAGATATACTTATCGTTGCAAAATGGTAGAGCTATTTAAGAATAAACCCATTTCGATTGAGGAAAATGAAGCTAATTTGATATTTTTTGGGGAAAAAATAAATAAATCAGAACACATGCAATAGACTCACCTCGATTAGCCTTCGGAGGGTGGAGCACCTTCAAGGCAACAGCATCAACGACTGAGCCACAAGCAGGGTCCTCGTCCTGTCCAGGGTCCCCGATAAACACACCTATCTCTGAGCTCTCCGCTAGGAAGGCCCAAGCATAAGAATCCCATCCTTTAGCATTATATATAGTCTGTACCGAAATCAAGCCACTGTCACGGATCGAGTCGGTCGACACTGTGACATTGAGCTTCTCATCGGATGCACAGGTTCGCGCAGCACTGAGAGTCAAGGCATAGAGCTCTCCTTTATTCACACTGACTCTTTGCCTTATGAATGCATCGCTGCCCAATCGAACAGCGGCAAAGCCCTCTGGTATAACGAGCATCAAGTCTCCCGATTTTTGCCCCGACTTGACGTATTCGACCGCACCACCAATTTCCCAGTCAGGAAGGGAGTTTTTGCCGATCACTACGGAGCCCTTGAGTGACGAATGGCTCGGGGCCTTCTCAAAATTGCCATTAGGCAAGAGGCCTGCAGAAATAACCTTAGGTGACCACGGAGCAACGAGGATGGCAGGGGTACAGTTCTCATTTATGTGGAAGTGAGGATGCTATGCTACGCTAGAATTTGGGTTTCAAACAGCATGCTAGCAGCTTCTCAATGTGGGGCCAAGGGCACTGTTTTTGCTAGTTTAAGCACCCCTACTCACTCAACTGTCCATTGTTCAAATCGGACGGCCGAGGAGGTACTACTATTCTGTTTGACTCCTCTTAAGCAGTATATTATAGGGATTCATTTACTAAAAATCAATATTACGGTACTCTTATTAGTAAGAAGATGTCTTCTTGATATTAGGGTATTCTTATTAATAAGAAAATATCTTCTTGTAAAATTCAATACAGTAAAAATGGGAAAAATACAATGCCCATTAATTTTTTGTACTGGAATGTCACAATTATCCCAAGCCATCAAATGTGAAATCGGGTGGCACCCATATATCGTTGACCATGCTCAAAATTTGAAAAAAAATTTCTCAAACTGTGCCAAGCTGTGACATACCCTTTGCCACTGTATATAACATCCGACAGCTAAAGATAATTACGACATCACACAAAATATACATTGTCATTATAAGATATTATATACTAAATTGAAAATTTGAATTCTTACCATCAGAGAAAGCAGAAACACATGAGAAACAAAGAAGAACGCCAAGAGAGAAGAAGAATGAGAAAAACGCCATGGATGCACAATAGTGAAGTGGAGAGGCAGGGAACTATGAGGGCTTTTTATACCCAAATTTCAAGTTATTTTTTTTTTTTTCTCACATTGAATTTTTAATAATTTAACTTATTTGAATTGAAATTCCATTACTATAGCATGTGGCCCTGTGGATTAAACAAATGTAGATGTCTTCAAGTCCCTTAATTTACGGGCGCATAAGGAGGAAACCCACAAATTTTGAAACATTATCCAGTCTGACCTTGAGAATTCATGAACTAAACCAGGTGCCATTTTGGTGAAAGGGGTGTTTTAGATATTTTGATAAGAATTTGTGGCGGTTTGGGTGACTGGCGACAGAGGTGATATCTGGTAGAAAGTTCAAAAAAATTGGGGTGATATCTGGTAGAGATAGTATTTGCAGAGTACCTAACATGGGCTTGCAGCTACGAGGAAGGATTCTAGGATAGGGTTTCATAAGCAAAATATAAAAGGTGCACTATTTTTTCCTTTAAAACGGTAATGCCCTTTATTTTGAAAACTGATATGAATCTATATTTTTGCAACGAATGGTTTACAGGTTAGTTTTGACGATTAAGTTTGAGAATGGGGTTGGGTTCGTTGTGGTAGCACTACTTGTAACACATTCAAAATTCACAAACGGTTTCTCATGTAAGGGCTTGTCATCCCCACTAAATTACCCAAAAAATAAATAAAAAAAAAACTCTTATTTTTTCCCCTAAGGTAACAGTATAGTTTACAAGAAAACCTCTTTCTCTAGAGTACCAAAGAGTTTAGGCCATATTTTTTCTTTTAGTTTTAATATTATTTGGGTGGTGAGAATGGAATTTTGGACATCAACTTGCAACCCTGATCACCTTTGCCTAAAGCCTAAAGCCAAAAGCCAAAAGCCGGTTCTCAAGATTTTGGGTATTTTACCTACTCAGTGGCTAATTACGTGGGATTATAAACAACAAGCTTTATTTTTAGAAAACGTTTTTTATGGAGTTAAATGGTAGTCCAAGATTTGTGTAGCCGACTCTAAGAAGTTGAAAAAAAGCTCTGACGGTCTGATGATGATAATCATGATGATGAAACTTTATCTTTAGACTGAATTTCAGTTTTTGGTACATGATGACTCCCACCCCACCGCTCATACTATGCATGCACGCCTACACACACACAATGCTATGCTCCATTGTTCTATGGAGTATGGATAAATGTTATTGGAATTGAGCAAGCCAGTAGCAGTTGGTCCGATCGTCAAAACTCCAACTAGTCCCCAAACCGGTTTAGTGGGAAACTTTATGTATCTTGAAAATACTAGTTTTTAGTGTGTATTACTTAATTTATTTTTGAGATCGCTTTTTCTATTTTCATGTTAGCTGGGTCACACTATACAATTTCATAGTAGCATATCTCAGCAGTTGTGGTACTGAGGAGGTACTCAAGTGTTTTTAATTTGTTAAAAATCAGGTAAAAAATGGCAAAAGTTGAAGAAACAACTCGTGTGAAAGATCTGAAACTTTATTGAAAGAAGAGTCAAAAAAGACTCGAAAAAACTTGACAAAAACTGAGGAAAATATGAGATATAAATATTTAATTGCACACAGGCAACAAAAATAAATTTTTTGACAACTCCATTGTTATGTTAAACTACTGTAATTTAATTTACTGAGTAAATTTTACTCAAACAACATATATCATGAAATTTAAACAATAAATAAATAAAATAATAATAAGAGTTTAACATAAATATGAAAAGAGAATGATGTTTGAAGCTACCGAAGCCAATCCCTAGAGAAGCTATACAGGTGTTGTTGTTCTCTTGAAAAGTGATGAGATATGAAAAAAGCGAAAGGGTATAGTTTTCTTTAAACCCAGTGATATAGAAAACCATGTAAGAGTTGAATGTACACCATGCAACTTAGCCATATATATAATTTGTTTTTAAAGAACAAGATTCCTTTAGAGCGTAGAAAAAAATCCCAAGTTTTGGTTCAAATTCCCAAAAAGAATACGAATCTCCACAATATCATGTACAAATGCCCAAATTATGAGAGAAGATATCTCCATTTATAGAACAATCCTTTTGGTGTTGCATCGAACAATTATGTAAAATTTCGTGTTTTGAAAATGGGTGTTGATTTAGCCATCCAAGTAAACTGTTTTTCTCTCCAAATTGAAAGCGATTCATCTCTCCTTGTTCATGCCATCCGTGGCTACTGTAAACCTCCATGGGCTCTTCATATTATAGCCTCTAATTGTCAATTTAAACTTACAAATCGCCCATAGTCGATTTGTCTTATTATCGAGAAGCTGATATGGTGGTGGACATACTTGCTAAAAATGCCTTAGTTTTTTAGATGTGACCATTTGACGATCTAAGCTTTCAGATTGTATTTCTCTTTTTTTATTTCATTGTGTTGCGTAACTGCCTTATCACAGGGTTTTAAAATACTGTGATGTAATATGTTTTATTTTTATTAATAAAAAAAGACCAGGGGGGTTTTTTCCCATTGGTTTACCCAAAACAATTAATCCCCATAAATTTGTTTTGAAAGTGGAATCTCCCCTAAAAAGCAAAGCAACCAAAAAGAAAAAAAAATTTACCACGGAAACCCTTACTATATTACACGAAATGCCAACCGTTTGTTTTCAACAACGGTCAGATGAATTGTTCCTTTAAGCTGTTAATTTCTGCTTAAATTTATCAAGGGCACCGTTTCTACGATACCGGACTCATATGTAGAGATGCGCCCCCTCTTAACATTCCATATTTGACATTCATTGGCCATGATTATGAAGAGTATATAATCTCTAATATGAAGATCATTAATATGTTAAAATCAATCATTTTAAAAACTAAAAATAATAAAATTGTGAAGGAAATATTTGAACCATTTACCAATGTTAACCCTCCACTATACGCTGTCAACAACGAATGGTCGAGATTTCATGCCATATACAAGGACCGTGCTACACAATCCTTGTTATATCCAATAGAGGGTGATTAGGGGTTCAAACGGAGAGCCCCATTTTCATTTCACGAAAACAATGGGGGAAAATAGTAATAATCATTTAAGACCTAACGATTTTTTTTAAAAAAAAAAAAAATCATTCAAGCAAAAATCTAGCTCGCATTTGATCTCGTAGCTTTCACAAAATGAACCTTCTCACATGGCGCAATACCTGGGATTCCATTTGGGTCGGCACACGTGTAAGCATGACACACGCGTGTCACCTATGATTCAGAACTAACAAAAAAAAAAAATTAAGAAAAAAAGATGTCAGGTGTAGTGGGAACACACTTCCATTGATTTCGTTTTCTTTTTGGGAATCCTAACTGTAATTTATGTTCGCTTCAATAATGATGGACATTAGGTGTAGGACTATGTACTAAAAAATGTTATTTACAAGGAAGGAGATTAAGAGCAGGAGAGAGAGATGAAGAGTAAGAGGAAGGAAGCAACAAAAAAAAAGGACAAGGAGCAAGAGATATAGGGCGATTGATTGGGTCAAGACGGTAGCAGCTGGGTTTTTATAGTGTGTTTGATTGGGTCAAAGCAGTTCGGTATTCATAATTGTCTTAAGTTCCATTCTTATATAACCTTGTGAAAAAAATAAAGAAAAAAAAAGTTGTCAAAAAAGAACTATGGAAGTTGAGGCGTCCGAGGGATGGCTTTTAAGAAACGACATAAATTTACACTGTTTTGGCAATAATGAGAAGCAACGGCTTCCAAAACAACACAATACTTTCCGTTTAACAAATACATGAAGTGCTATAGTATTGAAAGTCGTGGCTCTCGGTCATCATACACACCTTAAGGGCCTGTTTGATAACTGAAAGCAAGTTCATGAACTGTAAATTTGAAGTTCTTAAGTTATGTGAACTTGAGAAGTTCCTGGTTTATGTGTTTGATAACCTCTCTGGGAAGTTAAGAAGTTCCTGGCTTCTGTGTTTTATAACCTCCTGAGAAGTTAAAAGTTCCTAATTTATATGTTTGATAACTTCCTGAGAACTTAAAAAAGAACTGGGTATTTGTATTGAAATCCATATTTTGTCATGTTCATACATCTTGAAGTCAAGAAAATGGATTTAAAGATTTTTGGGAAACAACCCCTTCCAGTTAATTTTTAAGATGCGCCTTAATTTGATTGTCTAGAGCGTCAAACTTATACAAATTTTTTCCATGTAAACTTAGCTATATTACACTTCGCTAATTTGCTGAGTTTTAATCACGCTGAAGTTGCCCACGAAGTGGTTCACACGCGTGCCTGTTAGAAATATAGTGGAATCTCCATTGTTGGTCCGTCCTATTCATGATTATACGCACGTGCGTAGTGATGACATGTGTAAATCCAGTTTTCAGGACATGGTGGTCTACTTTCACAATAAGCACTAAATTGATACCATACATTAACTGTATTAACGATAATCAGAATAAATAGATACATATGGAGATGGGGAGCTCCCCTTTATTTCATAAACACACACGTGACTTAGAAACCAAATACTAAGAAATAACTGAATAAATGGTTTACGGCTTCTAGCCTATGTTGGGCACACGTGTGACAATCTTCATTCACCCAAACCCAGACCCTATCGCATCGAAATTGCAGATCAACGGAGGATCCTTCGGTCACAAAGGTGGCCTTCTTTCATAAGGATAATGAAAGAAAAATTTGATAAATATAAAGATTGGCGCACATGTCAGTCCACAAGCAACAAAAATTTGATTAATATGTACAGTTATTGCAGGCAAATTAAGAGTACGAATTCGGTGAGGGGTTTGATCACAAATGGGATCACTGAGGTATACGTACTCTTGTGGCCTAGGCCCCATAATTTTAGGGCCGGGCCACCTGGCTTATTGCCACCCCAAGTTTGCAAGGTTAGAAATGTCATGACTAGAAAAATTGATTTCCAAATAAGCCAAACATGAATGGGCAAGATAAACTGAGGTGAGGTGGATGAATGTCCTCAAAATGAGTTTGGTCCTTTATGTGTTTGAAAAATATGGATATCCTTAGCTTGCTTGTGGAAGATGTACACAATGGTGGCCTTCTTTCATAAGGATAATGCATCATTTATCCTCATTCAACCTACCCACAACATGTCATCTAAACTTCATAGTAAACCCAATTTAATGAGGAGATAGGCTTTGAATGCAATGTCCAAAATTCCCCAAAAGAAAAAACTTCAAAAAAATAAATGGAGAGGCGTCTTGAAATTGAAATGAGAAGGCGTGTTCTTTTCATGGATGTTTAGTGTAAGAATAGCCATCTAAGTTGGATAAGTTATTGAGTCATATGCCTGGTATGTGATGCAGCAGGCGACTATTCAACTATGGCTGTGTGCAGTCAATAATGTACAGCCTCAAGAACTAATCCAATGGCTATAAAACTTGGTGACACTCTCACAATTAAAAGGACTTTCAGAGAGAGAAATACAGAAAGAAGAGGGAGATTTACTTTCACACAATTATAAGGATTTTGAGAGATAGAGAAGAAAAAAGAAAAGGTTCAGACATGGCTTCAGAGTGTCAAGGTAAAGATATCCGTTACCGCTCATTCTGGCGTGCATGGAGAGAAAGAGAATCCACTTCCTGCATAGATCTCTCGCACGTGTGGTGTTGACAGTGCACACATTTTGAAAGAGGAATTTCATATTCATTTTGACACTTCTAGAAATTCATAATTTTTTTTTATTTTTGTTAACTTTCCTGAGGCTTTACTGAGGAATATTATTATTTTATTTGCTGTGTGCTACTGTTTCTTGAAGTTATTGTAACATAGCATCTATACCATTTTGGATCCCGTTCCTTAGCTCCAGTGTGCGGGTTTAGGGGACTTGTAGTGGTATTTCAAGCATACAAATAAGTTTCTTTGGGGTTATACAAATAAGTTTCTTTGGGGTTATCTTAGTTGTTAGAACAAGCAATGTGCCGCGCCCGCCCGGCCCTACCCTCTGCCACACTTTGTGGCCCAAGCCCTAATTTTTTAGGGCTGGGCTGACCGGGGCGAGATGAGCCAGGTCACCCAGCTTGTTGCCACCCCTATAGTGCTTGAGATGATGTATAAGATCTTTATATATTTTTTTGTTTAAAATGATAAATTTATCAGGAGAATCATCTTGCACATTTTGGAGCTTCAAAATGATTCTCCAGCATATAAATAAGTTTCTTTGGGGTTATCTTAGTTGTTAGAGCTAGCAATGTGCCGGGCCTGCACCTTTTGGAGCTAGATATGAAATCATCTTTGTACATGTATGTAATCACAATTACGTTAAACTACATGAATACCAGTATCCTTCTCTGTTCTTTGCATTTATATTTATTTGCTCTGTGTTTGATTTTGTTTGTTATTGTTTTCTCTCCATTTTCACATGGTTATTGACTCGTATTGCTGCCGGTTTTAACTTTAGTCACTATTCATGGTAGTCAATAATACACCTAGTTGATCAATCCAAACTCCCCTTAGGATTTGATCATTACGTTCATATGTGACACGTATTAACAAAGTGACATGATTTGTTGAGACAGGGAAGAGCTCATGGCCGGAATTGGTGGGCATGAATGGTGAGATTGCAGCTGCAACGATCGAGAAGGAGAATCCGACTGTTAAGGCAGTAGTCCTGCCCGAAGGAATCATTCTTGATGATCCAGAATTTCGGTGCAATAGGGTCGTGGTTTGGGTCGAACCCGGCATCATCGTGGGCAATGTCACACGTGTGCCGGTGATAGGGTAGAAGTCACTAATCACCTTCCTTAAACATGCATTACATAAATAAAATCTTCTAAGTCCCCTTTCTCTGTGTCTCTAATGATGGAAACTCGATAGGTGTATATCTATTTGATTAGTGGCGAATGCAGTGACCTACGTCAATTACAAAAGTGTAGCCATGAATTGGCATGATCGACGTGTTGTAAATAAATAAGGATTGTTTTTTATTGAATATTCATCTCTTTTTGTTATAAAACACTTCATTCTGGAAATTTATTTACCCTAACTTCAAATATGGGATAAGAAACTAAATAATTAAAACAATTCTACAATTTTATTTTGTTGCGCAAACAGTGTGCCAAGGCACTTAGTCAAAACCGAGTTACTCAGGCGAGTCCATAACTCGCCCGAATTATGCTCTACGGATAGAAAAACAAAAAAAAAAACCCGCTGAGAAAGAAACGGCCAAATAGAGTAGAGACAGAAGTACATGGTCAAGGATGGCACATGTCCAGTAGAAAAGAAGAGAAGGGCAGGTGGCGAAAGGCAAAAGAAAATGGAGTATGTGGCTTTAAAGGGAGAGAGGGAAAGGCGCATGGCTAAAATTTATTGAGAGAGGGAAAGGCGCATGGCTAAAATGTTATTTCAATAAATTTTTATGATGGTTTGAATATTTATTTTTATTTTTAACAACAAATTTTAAAGCTTTAAAAATGGTGTACATCGAATAAATTTATAGATATTTAAAAATTTTGAAAATTGATAGTCCAGAAAACACATTACAAATACATTGCAAGTGGTACTATTTTCAAGATGTAAAATCTATTTTTTCTCATGTCCATACATCTTGAAGTCGAGATTACAAATACGTTGCAAGTGGTACTATTTTCAAGATGTAAAATCTATTTTTTCTCATGTCCATACATCTTGAAGTCGAGATTACAAATACATTGCAAGTGGTACTATTTTCAAGATGTAAAATCTATTTTTTCTCATGTCCATACATCTTGAAGTCGAGATGATGGATTTGAAAAATTTTAGACATCGAACCATCTCCAAGAAATTTTTTGAGACACGCCTTAATTTTGTCGTTTAAGATTTTACCCTTATATAAACTTTTCAAAAAAAAAAATTAATACCTCGTATAGACCGTCCAACTTTTAGAAGATGGGATCTAAGTATTTGGAGAACTCAAAATCCAATTTGATTTTTTTTTGAAAATAACCATCTGCTAACTATTAGATGGTTCCCAAATTTTGTTAAACAACTTTGTTTTCATCCCATTGGCAAGAGTTACATTGTTCATATGTCCACCACTAACACCACATGATAAAAATGCATTTTGGTTTCCAAACCGGCCTATAGTCCTTACCAAAAGAAACATCATGGGGGTAGATATCATCTTGAACTGGGTATCTGTATTGGATTAGAGAAAAGACTGGTTTTCATCCCATTGGCAAGAGTTGCATTTTTCATATGTCCACCACTAACACCACATGATAAAAATACATTTTGGTTTCCAAACCGTCCTATAGTCCTTACCGAAAAAAAATCACATCTTGAAGTTTCCCAAAATCAGTGGCAGTCATGTAAATAATATAAAATAGGTTTTGTTTTATGTTTCTTTATTTGCAAAATACAGGTGCACATAATTTCCATCTATAGACTTCCACAACAATAACATGTCATATGCAGCCAAAATTAAAGCAGACTATAGACAATGTTCCATGATAAACCTCCACGCAAATGTTCCATGGTAAACTTCATTGCACCTCAAAATTAAAACAATCTATAGACAATGTCCAGTAGTAAGAAATCAACCCATTCAATAATAACTTGAGAACTACTTATATTCAGCACTGATGCATCAGTATCAAGCAACATCCACAATTCATGCATCCATAAAGAAAACCATGTACAAAACCAGCTCATTCAATAATAACCTGTAATAGTTTAAACATACGTAATTTAAAATGCAATAGAATGAACATAACATAAAAAGTTCATATGAAATGCAGAACAATGTTTAATTACAAGTGCTAGCGACTTAGGTAGGCCTCTCACAACTGCATCGCTATGGCATTATTATGGACTATTAGCCCATATATATCTACTGCACACATCATTATGGAC